GACTTGCTCGATCGCAGCGTCCTCATCTACCTTGATGATATCTTGGTTTATAGTAGGACGTTGGACGAGCACATCGTACACCTTCGCGTTGTTTTGAATCGTTTGCGACTAGCCAAGTACAAAGCGAATTTCGACAAGTGCGAATTCGCCAGGCAAGAGCTTGAGTACTTGGGCCATTTTGTCACGCTGAAAGGCATTCGTCCCTTAGCGGACAAGATCCAAGCCATCGTGGATTGGCCGGAACCCCGTTGCAAGACGGATGTACGCTCTTTCATGGGTTTGGCTAGATATTATCAGCGATTCGTCGAGTCATACTCGAAAGTGGCCACTCCTTTGTCGAGACTTCAATTCCCGAAGGTGCCCTTCGAGTTCGACGACGCAGCGCGTGGCGCGTTCACTACGTTGAAGGCAGCGATGCAAGCCGCACCTGCCCTCCGTATATACGACCCCACCCTACCCACCCAAGTGACTACGGACGCTTCGGGATACGGTATTGGTGCGGTGTTGGAACAGTGTCACGAGGACGGTTGGCATCCGGTTGAGTATTTCTCCCAAAAGGTGCCTCTCGTCAACACTCTCGACGACGCTAGGAAGAAAGAGCTACTCACGTTCGTCACCGTTCTCAAACAGTGGCGCCACTTTCTTCTCGGCCGTCGGCGTTTTAAATGGAATACGGACAACAATCCGTTGACCTTTCACAAAACGCACGACACTGTCACTAGCACGATCGGTCGATGGATGTATTACATCGACCAGTTCGATTTTGACCCGTGTCACATCCCCGGTCCCGCCAATCGAGCTGCGGATGCCCTCTCACGACGGCCCGACTTTTGCGCCATTGTGACCACGACATTCGACCTCGATGACGATCTGCAGCCGCATTTCGTCAAAGGCTACAAGTCCGATCCGACTTGCTCTACGCTTTACGCAGAGCTTTCATCGGATCACCCGCCGGCTAGCCATTATCGGATTTCCGACGGGTTCCTTCTCCTTCACTCGAGAGGAAAGGACTTGTTAGTAGTGCCCCAAGATCGCATCTTACGGACTCGTCTTCTCGGCGAATTTCATGACGCACGACTTTCGGCACACCTTGGCGTGAACCGCACACTAGCACGCCTCCTCCAGCGTTTTCACTGGCTCGACGTCCTTCATGACGTCACGAGGTACATTGAGTCATGTGCATTTTGCCACCGTAACAAGGGTCGATCTCGAGTCCCCTTCGGCGAACTGAAACCGTTGCCGATTCCTCGGGCACCACGCCTCTCCATTGCTATGGACATGACAGGCCCGTTTCCCCGCAATCGCCACGGCCATGACGGTATTCTCACGGTCGTTGACCGTTTGAGCAAGTATGCTCGCTTCCTTCCTTGCAAGTATCATGCTGCAGCACCTGAGCTCGCACGACTCTTGCACACCGGTTGGATTACCGACCAGGGTGTTTCGGAAGATATAGTGAGCGACCGAGATACTCGCTTCAAGTCGGCCTTTTGGACTTCTCTCATGACTGAGTCCGGCACGACAATGAAGCCGAGCTCGGCTCGGCACCCGCAGACGGATGGTCAGACGGAGCGAGCGCACCAGACCGCTTAGATGATGTTGCGTACGCTCATCCGTCGACCAGAAAGATTGGGTTGACCGGCTTCCCGACTTCGAGTTCGCCTACAACACTTCGGTGCACCCGGCGATCTGCGTCACACCATTCGAGCTACATCATGGTGGAGAGAAAGCACGGATCTTCGCTGATCTCCTTTTGCCACAGGCTGCCGACATAGACGTCCCTTGCTCTCCTGCTTCCGTCCGGAAGTACCGGGACTTGCTGATCAAAGCCCGCGCAAATATGCAAAAGGCTCAGATCCGCATGCAGC